CTCTCTTTGATGTCTCTCCCTTTCTTTTCCCCTCAGATGTCTCTCCCTTTAGCTTTCCCGTGCCCAAGCACTGCAGAAGACAGGGTACAACAGAGGCAGCAGCTGCTGCTGTTCCTTCTCGCTCTGCCTGGGTATTTCGTGGGCGGCAGCTCCTGCTGTCCCGCCGCGGGGTCAGTGGCCCAAGAAGTCATTGGTGACGGGCAGAACAGAGCAGAGGGCTTTAAACATGCTGCTTGAGAAGCTTGGATGAAGGAAAAATACATGTTCATTCTGCACAGCTTCCTCAGTATCTTGTATTTGTCAGCGGAGTGCCAGAAAGTTCTTGGATTTAGTGTTTTAATGGCAAAGTTCTTAAAAATTCCCCACGACGTGTGTGTACAGCTTCTGTTGGTACCGTCCTGTTTCCTGCAGGTGCTAGAGACCTGCGTGAATAACTGCGGCGAGAGATTTCACAGTGAAATAGCAAAATTCAGGTTCCTGAATGAGCTGATCAAAGTGCTTTCCCCAAAGGTAGGTGGTTGTGGTTGCGCTGGACGGTGCGGGGGGACACGCTGGTTGTTTCACGCTGCGTACTTCCCGTAGAAGTGGAGCAGGATTCGTCCTGTGCCTCCAGGAGCAAGGACTGGGCATGACCCCGCTGTAAGAGACGCGAGCCAGGGTCTCTTCCCATGAAAAGCTTTTTACTTGTGGGGCAGAGACTCTGGAGCAGCTTTGGATCGTTGCTGTGAGCCCTCAGCCCGTGGCCCTTTTGCCTCTCAGTGGTTTGCGGGACGGTGGTCGGGGAGGTGGCAGAGGACAGCGGTGCCGGGAGCAGTTTCCCGAGGCTCGGTGTGAGCAGCAGAGCGAGCCGTGGTGCTGGGGTCCCTGGCGGTGCCCCTCCTGGGAACAGCAGAGATCTCACACCTCGCACCGAACAGCAGCCCTGGGGCTGTGCGTACCCTCCTCAGCAGCTCAGGCACCAACGGTGCCGCGGGTCCTGCACACATCCCCCCTCGCACGGCGGCATCTTCCGTGAGCTCGCCTCCACGGCAGAGGTGCCGAAGCTGGTTTCAGAGAAGTGTGTGACCCAGCAGCAGAACCTCCTGAGCCCCGGGCTGGGTAACGGTGCTGCAGTGAGACAGCACAGTTTCACGCGTCCCTCAGAGGGTTTTGGTTGTGGTTTTGACAAAGCAGGGGTCTTCCGAGGGGTTTAAAACGCCCGGAGTTGTGGGGGGCTGTGGTGGCTTCTGTCATTCTTCGGGATGTGTTTATAATACATTAGAGTGAGTGCTCCTAGGCAATAATGAGAGAAATCAGAGAAAACATCCAGATCCTGAAAAACCCTTTCATTTCTGACTTTGTTCATTTCCTTCTCTCTGGGTCTGGCTGAGGCTGGTGGTGCTGTTTGCATTGCAGGCGCTTGGGGGAAGTATTTAAAGTCAAGCACAGAACTGTTTTCACCAAATAAAACAACCTGCTTTTGAGTTCAGATTCAATATCTGATCAGAGGATTTTTAAAAATTGTTTTATTTTGATTGTCCTATCATATTTGTATAATTATCGTAAGCTTAACAGCGTTCCTGGTATTGGCCGCCACAGCCGTGCGCCCTGGCTCCTGTACCCCAAGAGCCCCGGCTGACGCCAGGGTGAACAGTTCGGAATCCGTCTGTGACTCGGTCTCTGCCCAGCTTGGGGCTGGACCCCCCTGGATGCCTGGCACTAACCCCTGGGCTGTAATCTTTATGGTCTCACTTTCCTTTTCTGTTTCGTTTTCAGTACTATGGAACCTGGTCTTCAGAAAGAGTCAAGTCAAGAGTCACAGAAGTGCTGTTCAGCTGGACAGTCTGGTTTCCTCAGGAAGTTAAAATCCGGGATGCTTATGGGATGCTGAAGAAGCAAGGTTCAGTGCTGATGCCGTTTCCTCTGCAGCCTTCAGACCACAGAGCTGTCCTCCCCGCTCCTGACTCAGCTTTTGTCATAAAATGACGTGTGCAGGGGACAAAGGCCACACTTACAAGGCTTCTTGGGCACTCAGGGATGCCTGTAGCTGTCTGAAGAGATCCCCAAGCACAGAGCTCCAGCCAGCCCGGGTCACCACATGGCCGTGCCGGTCCGGGGGGCTCGGAGCCCAGCGCTCCCGGTGCTCTTGCTGCGGGGGGTTAACGGTCACCCGGAGGGAGCTCAGCACCTCCACAATTTGTTTCCTACCCTGGGAATCTCATCTGGCCCACGCTTAGTTCAAGGCAGAAAGGGAAGTGTTCTGGGGGGGGGGGGGGGTGCAAAGGCAGGC